CCTATATGACAAAATATTGAGATTATACATAAAGTATATAGTTCTAAAATATAAGATAATAGTATATCCAACATTATTACTGGCTAAGCTTATACTGACCTGGTTTTACCTTCTCTTCCCCCGTTGCTTGAGAAAGTATCACACAGTGAAAGCATAATACTTTCCCGTAGCGTTAATTGTGACCAAAAATAAAATGAAGCGCCAGCAGAGGGAGCTAATTATTAAGTTTGATCACTATTTCATAATTAGTGTCACCGTCGGGGCAAACTAATCGGAATGTACGGCCCATTGTCTTCCTTTGAAATGCTGGAGTTATAATTACGCATTTCGCTTGAAAATGAAAGTTTTCCTACAGGTTTTATTTAACCCCTTCAGAGGTGATGTGAATTGAGTGAAATGAACTTTGGTTGGTTGGAAGTGAATACGTGATAGGCGGTGTTTTCAATTGTTTGACATTTTGTTTAAAACTAAGGATGTATTGATACTGATACTAGTATTGGTGCTAATGGCGAGTATTTGGGCAGGTACTCGTATTCGCCCAAATGCTCCGATGCCTCTATTAAGGCCTCATTCACACTAGAAACGGCCGGCATGTACAGCTCCGTGCTGCGTGCTTGGCTGTATCGGGCCGCTTCCGGGAAGGACAGGTGCTGCATGTGATTAGTACACAGCCGCCGTCCTTCTCTATGGGAGTATGCGGCCATATGCCCCCTTACACTCACCTCAAGTGCAGGTCCGTAAGGGTGCATGTTTCCTGGCTCCGACGCAGAGAGGATACATCCTGTCAGCGTACGAGTACGCTCACCCGCACCCGTACGGACGTGCAGGGTGGGCGTATGGCCGCGTACTCCCATAGAGAAGGACGCGGGCTGTGTACTAATCACACGCAGCACCTGTCCTTCCCGGGAGCTGCCCGATACAGCCAAGCACGCAGCACGGAGCTGTACATGCCGGCCGTTTCTAGTGTGAATGAGGCCTTAAGGTTAGAGTCCTGCCAAGCCATCCTTAATTTAATTTAATGTACAGAGCACAAAGAACCATTCACATCCTACAGTATAAGACCCCTCTACAATATTGAGGGAGCCCAGCCTCACATCTTATGACACTGTGCCAAATGTTACCACTGTGCCCCTACAAGTCCCCCATATCATGTTAGAAATGAAGGAGGAAAGCAGAGATAAATGTCTTGTGCACATAGGAAATGTCAAAAGTTATTGGGTCATCTGGGAAAAAAAGTTTTTACCGGAGTTGGCGGAGGAGCAGAAGAGTGGATGTAGTGATGGTGGATCTAGTGATGGAAGAGTCAATAAATGAAATGTTATAACTTTAGGATATGCAGAGACCCGAGTCCATTAGTTACATTTTATGGACTCTCTGCAGCATTTCTTCTTTCTTTACAGTGTAAAACTTCTGCACAATGTCAGTGGGTGAGAACCAGAGGGATGACTTCTTCCTATTGGCAAGAATGCCATGCCTTTCCTTTCTTCTTTGTTTGCTCACTCCTTTCCTTCCTTCCCTTGCTTCATTCATTCATTAATTCCTTCCTTTATCCCTCCCCCATCCCTCTCCTTCCTTCCCTCTTTAATTCCTACCTTCCCCCCTTCCTCCCCTTTTCCCTCCCTCCTTCCTTCCCTATCTTCCTTCCATCCTTCCTGCCTTTTCTTACTTTTCTTCTTTTACTTTCCTCCCTTCTTCCTTTCATCTACCCTTCCTGTTTTCCTTGAATGCCTCCTTCCCTTCTATTTCTTTCCCTTACCCTGCCTTTCTTTTTCTTTACATTTCTTTTAATTCCTGTTTCTTAAAGGAGAATATTGGGGAGAGTGAAATACACTCTTCCCTATAATAAGAGCCGTTGTGCGACACTGTCATCTCTATAGATTGGGAAATGAGCGATCACATATCGCCGATCACTCAGTTCTCAGATCAGATCGCTGTAGGAAGGCGGAGCCAGCTGTCAATCAGCCAGCAGCACGACTCTGCGCTGTCATCATATAGGAGGCAACAGCCCGCTATATGCTGAATATATGTCCTCCTGTGGTCCTTAAGAGAACTATGGCCAAAAAAAGGTTGGCCCATAGTTTTCTTTTAACTTTCTTCTCTCCTCCTTTTCTTCCTTTTTTCCCCCTATTTTTCTTCGTCCTGCTTTCCTTCTTTCATTCTTTCTTTCCTCCTTTTCTTCTTCCTTCTTTACTTCCTTCTTTCTTTCCTACTTCATTTTCTTCTTTCCCTCTTTTCTTTCTTTCTTTCTTTCTTTCCTCCTTTTGCTCTTCCTTCTTTACTTCCTTCTTTCTTTGCTACTTCATTTTCTTCTTTCTTTCTCTTTCTTTCTTTCTTTCTTTCTTTCTTTCTTTCTTTCTTTCTTTCTTTCTTTCTTTCCTCCTTTTCTTCTTCCTTCTTTACTTCCTTCTTTCTTTCCTACTTCATTTTCTTATTTCCCTCTTTTCTTTCTTTCTTTCTTTCCTCCCTTTCTTCTTCCTTCTTTACTTCCTTCTTTCTTTCCTACTTCATTTTCTTCTTTCTTTCTTTCTTTCTTTCTTTCTTTCTTTCTTTCTTTCTTTCTTTCTTTCTTTCTTTCTTTCTTTCTTTCTTTCCTTCTTTCTTTCCTTCTTTCTTTCCTATTCTTTTCTCTCTCCATAAGTATCTAATAAGAACAGGCGGAAGTAGGGATGAAGAATCAGAAGAGTGAACGTGTGTCAATGTATCAGGGTGTCAGGGGTCACATGGAAGAGGGTCTTTCATACACGCAGCATTGCGCTTTGCTGGTTTATTCTATCACGTACCCAGTATTCCGGGTGAATTTGCGGCAGCATTGGCTACGGAGGCCGCTATCACATTTCCTAATATATGTCATCTTTATTGCCATCTCCCTGATTCCAGTAACATTTTAATTAATTCATACTGATTGAATAAATGTACATTTAGACTGGTTTCTTAATGAGGGCACGTTTAGTAGATAAGGTTCTACATCATCCTGATATCCTGCGGGTAATTATATCCTAATTATATGGTGAGAAAAGAGTCTATAACTCAGGGCCGCTATTGTTCCTTGGACCCAATTAAGAATTACACTCGGATAATAAAAGTTCATGACGAGAGTGACTGTCAGTCAATTTAAAAATCTTTATGGCAACAAGATTAGCGTGCAAGGACCCTAACCAGGTTAAGAGCTGCACTATTTACTGTCAAGTGGCTCGCGGAATAAATGATGGCGGCGGATCGCTGGTAAAATATGCTTAGCGATCAGACTTACGCTCTGCTACTGGAAGGGAAGAGACTCGCTGGCTTGTCAGCTTGAGAATTCCAGACAAGGACTCAAAATTCTAATTGGGAAAACAATATTCCATAGATCGTATGCAATGTAATAAAGCCTGCCCTGGCCATATATGACTTCTGTGGCATATCAAATAACCAATAACCTATGGCGGCCAATGGACTTTTAATGGATAAGAAGATCAGGGAAGCACAATCACTGTAATCCACTACTAAGGACGAGGCACAGCACATGTATGAAATAAGCAATTTGGCTGAATCATGTAGATGTTCCATTAAAAAAAACACGTTTTATGTTTTTGCACGAGCCGACCACTAGGAGGGTTATTCACAAAGCTAGCCGAAGGATCAGCCGTAGCTCCAGCTGATCCTTCAGCTAGCTTCGGCCTCCTGAGTCGAAGGGCTACTGTACGGGCTATTCACTAAATCCCGTACAGCTCCCGAAGCTGGCCGAGCAGCTCGGTCAAGCCAAAGGCATATGCTGCGGCTCGGCTGAGCCGAAGTGAAACCCGAAGCGGGCCAAGCATCCAGATGTTGGATCGGCTGAGTCGAACTCCTTCTGCACTTCGTGTCGGCCGAACATGCAGAGCATGTTTGTTTTTTTTTTCCACTTACCTTCGGCGCGGGAGAGCAGCGGCGAGTCAGCGCTGGTCCGGTGGGAGGAGCTCCAGGTGGGGTCCTAATTTAGCTGGTAGCTTGCGGTAGCGCCGGGCCTGATCACACATACACTATATGGCCAACAGAATGTGGATACACTTTCAAATTATTGAGTTCAGATGTTTTGAGTGAAGGTTCTTTTAAAGTGTAAGTAAACCCTAATAATGAACTTTTCCTATTGGCTCCCTTTTGGTCTATTAAATATACCATTGAAAGCATTTTGTTATATCTGTTGGATAAGTTCAGAAAATACCTATCGATCCCACTAGAACTATTGTGAGCTGATAACTTCCCGTGCTCTCTGCCTGTGCTGAATTGGGGCCCCCCCCCCCCCCTCATGTTATGGAGAAGAGGGGAAGGTGTTCTATTGTCCTGTCCCAGGGTGGCAATGTTACCTTTCCATAGATACATTGATACATTTAGGTGAGTGAACGTTGTCACCCTAGGACAGGAAGTGTTTTACTGGCAGGCTAATATGTAAGCAACAACAAAAAGGGGGCATGAGTAGCTGGGCACTGCCATGGTGGACATGTACCCATGCAAAAAATGTTTTTTTTAACAAAATATCATTCCATGGGGAGAGGGTCTTTTAATGTGGCTTAAAGGGCAGCATTGAAAATTCACAAAACGTTTAAATAACATGTTGGGGGGGGGTGCCGTAAAGCACCATGTGAACACTGCATTATAACCCTCTATAAGTGCCAGTGAAAACATTGACAGATCCCCAGCTGGCTTCTGTTCGTAGACAAACCAGTCTTATTATAAAAGGGGTTTCCAGATTCTGATAAGTCCCTCCCCCCCCCAAAAAAAAAACAAACCTCCACATGCTTTTTAGAGGACAGTTTGGGGGGATGAAGCCCTTGTCCCCTCAGCATGGGGAAAAGGTCCTTTGCAATGGAAGGGGTTGTCACCCACTCCATGCAAGGTGCCCTCACGATGTTGAAAGGCATGTGACCTGGTATGACTCAAGAAGGGAAGGTGCACCCTCAATGCCCTCCCTTTCCTAGGAACCCAGGCTGCATGCGCGGAGGAGGAGGTTTTCAAACATGTGTACTGTCATTGAAAAAAAAACCGGCATGGGGCCCCCAACAAAATTCATACCAGATGCTTATCCAGGCATGCATCCAGGTGAGCGTGCACTCCCCCCCTTCCAGAACCAAGCCACATTTCCTTTAACCTTGGGAGAGCACCTTGCAAGGGAGGAGATGGAAAAATCCCCACATCCCTTTTGGGAGACAGGACTAGGTATGGTTCACGGGCCTGCATGCCTGAATAAGGGTCTGGTATGAATTTTAAGGGGGACTCAACACCCTTTTTCTTTCAATTAAAAAAAAAAAAGAAACTAAAAGCCATAAAATTAATTCTTGACTCTTGTATAGGCATGCAGCCTGGGTGGCCAGGAAACCCCTCCCAGTGTGCAACCCTCCACCACCTCCTGAACCATACTAGGCCACATGCCTTTCAATTTTAAGAGGGTACTTGCATGGAGGGGGGTGGCAAAGCTTCATTTAAAAAAAAATGTAAATGATATCCCACAATATAAATCCAGCATCAGTCTAGATGGCCCAATGCCACGATGTCCCGCTGCTCAATGTTTTTGCCCCATTAAATATGACTACTAAATGACAGATCACAATCAGCAGCCGGGGTTTCCACCCGCGAAGGGGCCATAAGGAAACAATTTGGTCAGCAGTTCACCGAACTGTGAACAGGCTGGGTTTGGGTCGAACTAATATTTGATCCCAAAACGTATTCCTAGTTATAATAAAAGCTTATCCTCCCATTCAGGAATCAGTCTGGAGAGCACATGGCGAAACAGCTATTTCTTCTGGACAGGAGAAGGTAGGAATCTGAAATTAAGTCTGTTAAAATCCTTGCACTGTACGTACATTGATCACCCATGATGTCATAATGTGCAACTATGCTGTCCATACTGGCCCATTATCACAAGCGTACCTTACAGATACCCTCTGGACACGTTCCCGTAGCCAGTTCTCTATCCACGTACACACCACCTCATCTATGCCCATAGCCCTCAGCTTGTGTAGCAAGCGTTTGTGTGGTACCGTATCAAAAGCCTTTGAGAAATCCAGATATACCACATCCACCGGCTTACCTCCGTCCATATCTCTACTTACCCCCTCATAAAAAGTTAGCAAGTTAGTTAGGCAGGAACAATCTTTCCTGAACCCGTGCTGATTGTCATTAACTATCCCGTTTTCCTGAACAAATTCTACCAGATAATCCTTTATTATGCCCTCTAGCATTTTACAAACTACCGATGTTAGACTGACCGGCCTATAGTTCTGCACCAGCTCTCCATTGCTGCTGCTTCCTTCTTCTCCAATGCTTCTTTTAGTGCCTTCTTCCTTCTGCCATTGGGTGGCACTGGCATATGTGATGGACTTATGTTGTCCTGGTATTAGACTGCACTTTTCGGCATGATACAGACACTGAGAGTGTGATTTCCAATGCGCTTCCACTTTATTTTAATAAATACAAAAATATTGCAAGGAGACAGGGAAAGGTGTTATTTGGCAGATGGGACACACAAAGACCTTTTTGCCCTCTAGAAATTTTGTATTTGAGTTCAGTTTCTCTTTAGGTGTTGGGGTGCATTAGTTGAGGAAATAGTTTGTTAATTAGGGGGTTATTCACTATTGAGCCGATGGATACAGCTGTAGCTTCGGCTGATCCTTCGACTCTCTTTGGCCGCCGGAGCCCTTCGGTTCACTCGAACTGAAGGGCTGCTGTACGGGCTATTCACTATAGCCTGTACAGCAGCCGAGCCAAAGGCATATGCTTCAGCTTGACTGAGCCGAAGTGACACCCGAAGCGGGGCTAACGGCGTGCCGCAGGCCAGCAGTTCGCCCCGCAAATGACAGCTGGGCGGAGCCAGCTGTGATCTCGCGGCTGGCTTTGACTAGTTGTAATGACCAATCAGCATCCCCAAATGATCTGGGGACGCTGATCTGTCATTAAACAATAAAAACTGGGCGGGGGCCAGCCGTGACATCACGACCAGCTCCGCCCAGTTGTTATTCATTGGCCGGGACCTGCTAGAAGACTCTAGCAGGTGTCGGCCAATAGGAAACAGTTGGGCGGAGCTTGCTGTCAATGCTAGCTCCACCCAATGGTTTTTTTTTCAATTTTTTTTTCTTTTCTTTAAAATATATATATATTTTTTTAATCTTCCTATTTTTTTACAATGTATAAATCATTTTGCAAATATTTTATTTTTTAAAACATATTTTCCGCTTATTTTCTATTCTGCTCGGTAGCACGGAGCAGAATAGCCGAGCCGAATGCGGCTCGGCGGCATTCGGCTATTCACTCACTGCCGTTCAGCCCCTATGAGAATAGGGGCGAACGGCAGCGAGTGAGCTGCCGGAGCCAGAGCTGCAGAGCATGTTCGGCTGACCGAAGGCAGCTGATGTACGGCTGATTTCAGCGGAGTACAGCGGAAATCAGTCGTACTGAGACGGAGTGAATAGCCGAACAGCGTTCGGCTCCCTTCACTTCGGCTTGGTTACTTACTCAGCTGCCTATGGCAGCTTAATGAATAACCCTATTAGTAACAGTTCAGACTAATATAAAGCTGGAAGGCTCTACTTATGAATGTGTGAGGACTTTAACTATTACTTTAGCCAACTCTGCCTCTGCCAGATACCTTTACGTATGAATTTATTTTGGCATATGCAATCATGGTTTGTGATAGGCTTACTTTAAACTCACTGTCACATACAGACTACACATACTTATTATTTGGTGATCCAGTATGTGCTCAGTCTCAATATTCAAGACAAACTTCAGGTGCACAGCTAAATATATATATATATATATATAGGAACAGGTTTGTCTGCCAAAGGATTTTTAGCTGTGATTGGCCAGTCTTGACATCTAGGCACCCCTGCTAGACCAGCAGTTCTCAACCTATAAGTATGAAAAATCTGAAAGCACCCCAGTCTAAAATGTAACAGCCATAAATGTAAAAAATGACATTTGGTCCCATCAAAATCCATTCCAGATCCTCATTCAAGATAGATCTGGTATAAAATCTATACCAGATCTATCTTGAATGAGGATCTGGAATGGATTTTGGATCCCCCATTAGATTTTATGGGGGACCCCAAAAAAGTTTGGGTTTGCCCTGTCACATCAGAGTTGCCCTTTACATCAGGAGCCCCCTTCACATCAGGAGCCCCTTCCTTTCACATGAGACTCTACCCCTCTCACACT